GCAGCACCAAAAACACACATAGTCCATTTATCACTCCCTCATAGTTCCCCAAAATGTGCGCGCGCACACACACACACTGTCTGAATGTGTGACTATGTGTGTGCTTCCAGCATTGGACTCCTGGTTTTTAAGTGTTTAAAATCATGTCATCGTGCCCCGAAAGTACAGTGTGCAACACTGATGAAAAAATCTTATGACATCTTTCATCTCCTGTGAATCCCTCTGACAGCACAAACCATAAATGGTAGTGAAATGCACTCGCTATGCATGCATACTGCTGAGGAAGATGAGGGTTTGGTACCTGTCTTGAACCAGCCATCATCAGTGAAAGACTCTCTGGTCTCCTGAGGTTTGTTAAAGTACTCTTTAAAAACAGATGGCCCTCGAACCAGAAGCTCCCCCTCTTTCCCCTCCAGACCGGGTCGTACCTGATGCATATACATGGAAAGAAAGGAAGAAATCAGGATAAATACATCACCGTGCTTAACAGCTGGTATGAGATGTTTGTGCTGATATACTGTGTTCGTTTTATATACTATCATTAAAAATCTACACTGATTGTGTTTATCCAAAGGACATTTTCCCAGAAGGGTTATGATTTGCTTGGATGTAACATAAGCTGTGCTGCCATGTTCTTTTTAAAGAAAAGTGGCCTTCTCCTGAACACTTGTTCAGTCTTTTCCTAATATTACTGACATGAACTTTAACATATAACATGCTAAGTCAGGCCTGCAAAGTCTAAGATGTACTTTTTCTTTATCCGTCATACAGTCTGACCTTGGGTGTCACACTTGTTGGTCATCAGTTATTCAAGTGCATTTCATTAGCAACAGGAACAGGATTACATTGAGTCTGATGCTAAACCTTTGTTTTCACATGATTTTTCCTGATGAAACCTATATATATTGAACTTATGGATTACCCGAGTGTCTTTGTGAGTGCCTTCCACAATGGTTGTATTAATTGTGTTATTCATAACAATCCGAACTTCCACACCAGGCAGCGGCAACCCAACAGCTCCTGTCAAACACAAAGAAAGCCCATGAACACAGAGAGAAGAGAACACACTGTGTCGAAGCAGAATGGGATGATTTTTGGCCTTTACAGAAGTGGAACACATATTCTGGCAATAATCAGTGAAAAAGCCATCAAAAGCATTCAGTGAGAGATTTTTAACACAAGAGTCATCTTCTCCAAGACAGCGTTAGCCTCCATCTGCAGGCCAAAACTGGCCACTGGCTTGCTGAGCTTGTAAAACACTAAACTGAAAGCCATTCGTCTCAGTCACCACAAACCAGCTTACACGGACAGTAATGGGGATTTCTGGGCAATGCCTGATGCAGCCGTTTTCACAAACTTCAAGTAAA